ATTATTAGGTTTTAATTGGTTTTGAAACTCCTAGATCTTTTGAGATTCATTGAACTGTTCAATGGCATGTTTCAATCTCGAGTGTGCCCTTCAGGTTTTGTGACTGGGATGCCGAGGATCACAAAACAAGGTGTGAAGTAACCATGCAAATTACTGGGTACCCTTAAGTGTTTATCCCTCAATCGATGTGCCGGTTAACCACACACGCTCCATCGATACTATGATAAACATTAAGTTACCCTTTGCCTACCTTGTTAAATACGAGTTAGTGTGCCGGTTAACCACACGCGCTCCACTAACCGACTCAAACAAAGTGCAAAGTGTAATTTCGTGGATTAGCACCTTATTCACATTTTTCTAAGTTACTAAGATTGGGTATTATTAAAAGTTTAGTTACTTAGTATTTATCATTAATACTTTTAATGAAGGGAGAATTATAGTCATGTCAAACCCGTTCGGCTAACGACCCTCCACCACTCAAGCGAGCGGTGGGTGAGAGTAAACACCCATTAAGTTGCCATTTTATAGGCAACAACCTTATACCCACCTTATAGACCGGCTTCGTGAATGAGGCGTACTAGCGGTAAGACCGACTTTACTCTTATACATATAAATATTATTAACTTATAATATTATAAAGTATAAGGGTTGAATTTTAACTTTTAAAATTCTAAGGGCTAACTTGGAATTAAAGTATTCATAAGAGAAAACTTTACAAATTCCAAAACTTGAGGGCAAGTTTTGAAACTATTCAAAACTAATTAATTCCATAACTTATATGTTTAAAGTAGTTTTAATCCAAAAACTCTTCAAGTTCCATAACTTGAGGACAAATTATGGAAGACTTTAAACTAATAAAGAATTAACTTTTTCTTTATTTATTTATTAATGAAGTGACTCTTGAACCTCCATAACTTAAGGACAAGACTCTTCATCTTTTTTTTGTAACCTTTGCCAACTTTATGAGTTTTATGAGTCTTTAATGTGACTCTTCATGTAACTTAAGGATAAGTTACACAAACACATTTTAGAATCAACTCTTAGATTAATTTGGATTGAAAACAACTTTTTCACTCAACTTTTCTATTAATCTAAGCAACTCATAAGAACAAGATAATTCAAATCAAACTTTTTCATGTAATTAGTCTAACCTTTAAACTAATAGAAAACATGAATCTATTGACAATTATCTTTGAAAATGGATTAGCATGAACATTACCGCATTAAAAAACAAGTTTATAAGTTCAAAACAACTTAGGGTAATGTTCCTAGTCCATTTCTAGCCAAAAACCTCGAAGATATGCTGTCTGGGGTCCAACTCGTCGAGTGCATGAACACAACTCGGCGAGTTGGATGCATTTTGCCTTGGACTCGTCGAGTGCCTTCATGGACTCGGCGAGTCAGCTGGGCTGACAGCATCAAAACTCGATTTTTCAGCTTCTATTGCAGGTATAACAAGAAAACAAGCCTAGGCTCTGATACCACTGTTGGGTTATGAGCATTCTAACACTCCTAAGTGTACATGCAACCCTAAATACCTTGGATCTATGTTTTCTCTATTATACATGCAAATATGAACATCCAAGGTATTATCCTAATCTAGCATACAAAATAATGGATATAACAAGATAGAATACATACCTCTTTGATAGTGCTTGTCTTCATGAAGCTTGAGTGCTTAGTGCCCCAAGTGTGACACCTCAAATGGTTCACACAACACCATAAGCACTTGGAATAACTTAAGAGAAACTAGAACACTTCATGAAATCGGTTAGCCCTCTCTAGAATAATCTAGTGTTAGTAATCGTCACGATTTCTTGAGCCATGGGTTTCTTTTATATGGTGGCTATTAGGGTTACACCATGTAACTCATGACTTTACCCATTCCTTATGCTCCATGGATTTTAACCTCCATGGAGTATCCATGGGTCACCCCATGGACTTAGTCCAACATAAGGAATCTTGGATCACAAGCCCACACATATAAGAATGAATGATTTACACAATCAACCCATATATTTAATTAGTCTTCTTTTGATCACTTAATTAATTCCAAATTAATTCTTGATCAATACTAATTAAATAACCTTATTAATATATTAGAACTTATAATATATTAACAAACCTTAAGTGTTATTTCTCTCATTTTAGTCTATCCAAGTGCATGATGCCATGCAACCCAAATGGACCATGCCGGGTCGGGTCAAGTCTTACCAATTATAGTTATGGACTTAGACATTAATCCAACAGAAACTAGGGGATGTCACATAATACTCCATTCAAGAAGGAATGAATATTGTGATGGGTTTGAGCCAAAAGAACATCCTATGTGCTCATGCAAACCCTAATGCTTGGATCTAGGTTTCACTAATTGTACATGCAATCATCCAAGGCTTACAAATCCTAGATCTAATGAGAAGAATTCGAAATTATAAGAAACAAATCAGATCTTGATCATTACCTCTTGTTGCTTGCTTGAATCTTCTTGTCTTTGAAGCTTAGAGTCATAAGTGTCACTCCACTAATGGATTACAAACACCAATAGCAAAAGAATGATCTTGGAGGGAGGTTTGAGGCTTCTTGAATTCGACTCTATAGCTCTTAGGAATAGGGTAGTCCGAATTCAGAAACCCTAGGGTCCTATTTATACTGGAGCTGTTAGGGTTTCAATCAAAAACGCTAACGGACTGCTTAGCCCTTAAGCAATTCAAGGAAGCTTCTAGAATAAGGCTTTAGGGCTGAAATTAGGAATGGATACATCCTAATTTCGTCAATTCCTAGTCCAAGAGGCTCCTTAGTCCAACACTCAATTATCACACATTTGACAGTTTAACTCCCTGATATTAAATTAATGTCTTTTAGCTACATAATTAATTTCTTAATGAATTCTTGTCTAATATTAATTTAATTATATTATTTCTACATTAATATATTATTCATATAACATATTAATAAATCATAATAACCTCTTTCTTAATAAATCATCCTAGCATGTTGCTTTGGTGAAGGCAAACCAAAAGGACCATGCACAACTGGGTCAAGTAATTACCAAATATAGTTACGGGCTTAGACACTAATCCAACAGTTTACCACTTGGATAAGTCTAGTAACTATAAATGTAAGTACAATCCAATTAGCAATCGTAGCACTTAATGACACTGTCGGACTCTGATTTTATCAATAACATGTCCTTTAGATAAGGGATCATATATTCCTCCATTGTAGATATCGTATGAAATAAGACATGGATTTTAATCATACTCTCTGTTCATGTGTTGTTTCCTGATTTCCGATTTATGACGACTGACAACAGACTACAGTTGAACACAACAACTCAGCCGTGACTTGGCCAAGCGCTTAGGGTGTCATCACTAAATCATCGAGGGGCCCATATATATCACCTTTATCTCACTTTGGGTAAAAGGAACGGATAAACTTCGACTCAATGCTCACTTGTACTCACTCACCGAATCACACGCAATAATATGTTTTATAACAGCAAGTTACTGGTGCGTTTACATATTATTAATGTATAACCGACTCGCAAGATACAAATCACACATCTCGGTTTCAAGAATATAAGATATTATTGTCTCACCAATCATTCGTGATAAATTCCATGAAGTGATTCACGTGAGCGTGCGTGTAATCAATACTCAAATCTTATTTCAATACTACTCATGAATACTGCAACAAACTTTTGCTATATCCAAACGCTTTAGACAATCTACAGACGGATTCATGACAGTCTTCATTCATACCTACTTCCAAGGTATGAGCGGCTGTGGAGGGTTTGAATAATATTATTATTCAGGAAGTCAAAACATGCAAAATGAAACACAAGACTAATACTAATCCTGTATGGTCCCAAACCATTGAATTTAAATAAAACATTTTATTTAATCACCATATTGATTACTCGTTATTTGTTGTTTCGTGTAATCAACTTCTTACTTGAATTATAAGAACAGTTGTCCCATGCTCTCAGCATGTACACTATGATTTCCTATGGTCCTTAATTTGTGAAATAGATCAAATGAACACATTTCCAATGATGCTCATTTTACAATTCCTAATCCATTAGTGTAAGAATACAAAATTCTCACCACTACTAGAATATGTTAGAATCTATCATTTTATGCAACGGTCCTTTCGTAATATCACAGCGCCAAAGTTACGCAGACTTTGCCAATAAAATTACAAAGTACTCTATTGGAGATTGTTACAAGACAATTCCATAGTAGTGAAGTCTCATATTCAAGGTACAATCCTTTGAACATTCTTCTTGCATAAAAGTTTCTAATCTAGACATTGATTCTCGATATCCAACTCCCAATATGGAAACATTTCCATTTTGCCATATGACAACTCATTCTAAATAGAACCTTATCTATTCATAATAATGTTAATATGGTGCATCCATGACTATGCTTCCAACTGTCCATAAGCGACCAATCCTTGGCGAACGTTAGATTGTCCTTAACAACTGTTTAATTATTTTAATCACTACTAGAAAAAAGTCCTTTTACGACGCTCATTGCGCGTCGTAAAACGCTCAAACGACGCGCAAATGCGTGTCAAGGAAGGCCCTGTCATAACGAGAGACGACACGCTTTTGCGCGTCGTCTTTAGATGACGCGCATTTATGACGCACATTTATGACACGCAATGCGTATCATTAAAGCTGCTGTCAAGAAAGGCCATTTCATAAATGAAGATGACACACATTTTTGCGTATCATAATTAAATTTTTTTTTTTAAAAAAAAAATTTATTTACAGGTTTACTAATTTTCAAATTAAATTTTCATTTTCATATCTCATAGTAGAAAATAAAATACCATATATAAAAAATACAATCCATTACACAAAAGTTAATATTATACAAATAACCATTCTCAAGCTTTAAAGCATCAAATGATGAGAAATTGCAGAAATCACAATTTCTTGAATGTAATTACTGATAAACATTGTGTCTACTTGACAAATTAAACCTATATCATCACATTTGCTGCAACCAGGCTTGTTTCATGCTCTGCATCACATCTTTATACACCTAAAGGATCAAAGCAAAAAGATTAGAATTAGCCATAACAATATAACACCATTTATATGCATAAATTCAAAAATATTGTTACAAATTTTCTTCTACTTAACCAATATGATAAATAAGTTTAAAACAAAACAATGAAAATAAATTACTATTTATTTAAGTAACTTGTACTCTAACAGGAGAATGCAACAGTAGATAGAGCTAATACATAAGTAACTTGTACTCTAACATTTGACACTATAGAAGACTCAAAAAACATGAAGGGCAAAAAGGTAATCGACACATATTGTACCTGTTTCTGAGGTTTTGCCATTGTATCTGAGGTAAACAAATTACCCTTTATTTAATTACAGTAATAAACTAAAACTGTACAATATCACAAAAAAAAAAAAAATAACATGATAATTAATTATAATAATTGGAAAAAAAAAGTGAAAATTATAAAACAATCTAGATATTCGTTATAGTAAATTAACAAAAATATAAATTAAAAAGAGAGGTGTATCTCTGTTATGGGGGAAACTGGAAAAGAAAAAGTGAATTGTTTTATGGAATCATCACTTTCCTAACTTAACCCACTAGAACATTTTGTTAACATCAAGTAAAAAAGAAACTGTTAAACCATTAGATTTTTTATAAACATCATATATCCAAACAATAGTTGCTCATCAGAAAAGCTCCTTCACAAAAGCACATGTGAAAAGCTGTAGAGTTGGAATGTTTTGAGGATTTATCAGCATCTGATATGGAGATGCTCATGCTCCCATTAAGACCATTACTTTTAGAGTTGGAATGTTTTGGGACAGGAGTCTCCTTCATAAAAAGCATTTATTTCTTCCAAGAGATCTCATAGATTACCTGTGGAAACGCATAAATTGCATGCAAGATTCTTGCATAATCAGTTCCAAGCATTTGAATAACAATGTCTGCTAGTAATGTTCCCCATAGCCTGCATAAATAAATATAAATACATAAATAAATAAAGTATTATTAGTGGAAGGTAAAAAAGGAATAATACATAGGACCAAGTAACACCATTATGCTCCTAATTAACACCAAGATTTTGCGATGCATCACCTGCTAACCCCTGTTCACAAAATCACCAATCCATAAACAATATTTTCACTAAAAAAATTCACAACTTAATATTATATTATATTTATATTTAATATCCAAAAAATATGCAAATAACAACAAAATAAAGAGATTGTGATAATATAAATATATTATATTTATATCCAAATCCAATCACCTGTTCTGCTGCAAGTAAAGCTGCTCTTGACTCCAAGTTTATAGTTGCCATTCGTCCACCCTGATAACAATCAAAACATTAACATATCAGATATATATATATATATATATATATATATATATATACACACACACACCTCTTTGAGAATTTCCTTCTTTATTTGATAATTACCAGCTTCCTTCAAAGTATAATGTCTTTAAGATTTTTTTTTTTTTTTTTTTTTTTTTTTTTTTTTTAAATCGTCATGATATAATGAAAGAATAAAATAAAATAAAATAAGCCTAATAGAAGTACGTTACTAATTCTTGGATTTGGATGTGAATATATAGGTTATTCAATATCTACATTCTGGGATAAATTATGCTATAGATCTTTTATCACTTATACATCAGCTATTAATAAAAGCATATGCAAATTACAAGATTACCAAGTGGGAACAAACTATAACATGATTTATATAAATATAATATCAATCACAAATCATTTGTTATAATACAAATGACATGGAAACTAAGAGTGAAAAGACCACTTACCACAATGACATAAATTCGCCTTTTGCAAGCATGAAATTGGCTTCCTAACAACACCTTTAATTTGTACATCGTGTAGCTGGAATTTTGTTCCTTTTTGCAATTTTTGTACATCATAGGAGATTAGATAGATTTGATCATTTCATTTGTTGTTCATCATCTTATCAAGAACTGCATTAAGATCCACACATATTCATTTTCTGTGAGGTTTCTCACAGAAGCTCTTACAAGGTCCCTCCTGAAACCTATTGATGTGACCTTATCCACTATATCATCTACTGAAATTGTATTACCATTTCCTTCTATAATTAACCTATCTTCTACATCAACACCAGTTGGTAATGCATGAGGCAGTGGTTGGGTTTCAAAAAGAAACCATTATATAATGTAAAATAACTAGAGTTACAGAAAGAAATCATGTAAATGCTTAGTTTTTCAATTTCTTTATGGTTTTGCATTTTTACAAACACTTGGCATATACTATGCAGTTGTACATTTCCCATCAAAATAAAATCAAAAATTCATTCTCTACATACGTATCTAGAACCAAAAATCTTTTTGACTGCTATAAATAAACACTCTATACTTGTATTATATCTATATATGCTCTTGCCCATACTCCCACACAATCGCAGGAATGCTCTGGATTGGATCTCTCATAGATCTCACACTATCTCAAAATTTATGAGAATGCAGAGAGCCCCAAATTAAAATAAGAAAATGATAAAGTAAGAGAAATAAACCTAGGGCACATATATGGAGAAGAAGAGAATGATATTCAAACCTGGTGCCTCTTCCATTTTCGTTTCCTAATTTCCGATGCTTCCAATCCGACCATGAACCTCCGACTTCTAATCCCATATCTGACCTTGTGAGGTCCAGAACATAAAATTCCTGTTTTTGAGAATCTCCACTACCGATAAAGTTCCTTCATCGTTCCTAAAAATCAGGTCGAATCCATGAAGTCAAAAAAGATTACATACGATAAAAAACCTAAAGAAGAATTGACAGTAGAGCAGATGAAGGGCAAATAAATTGGAAACCGAAGGAAACAAAGACACAATAAAACCTTACCAAGAATCAACGGTGGAGTTAATCCATAACAATCAACCACTTCTGTATTTTCGGTGGACTGACTTCCAAAATTAGGGATAAAAGCAAGATCCATCGAGGGCAACACAGATGGAACAAAATCCGACAGAGAGGACAAAGGCGGTGTGGAAGAAGAAGAGCAATTGAATAGCAAATGACAAACATTTGAGACCCAGCCCATTCACAATCGGTATGAGAGACTCAACCGCTGCGCACACAGTAACTTCATCCGACTCCAGCAAATCAGTGACCAAAAACGATAGGGAGGAGGAGGACGAAGGGACAAGGGAAAGCAATCAGAGTAGGGACCAATACCCTAGGGCTTCTTTCTTTCTTATTGGAAGAGGCGGATGGGGGGGGTGTTAAACTTTTAGATAGAATAGGCGGTTGTTTAATTTTTGAGGATTTCATTTTCCTGCTTAAAACGCGTGTTTCATTAAAGAAATATAAAGTGACAACCTTAGATGACACACAGTTTATGATAGGCGCCCTCCATATTTCCTTTTTTTTCTTTTCTGACACTAATTGTAGGGGGCACGCACAAATGCGTCACCTCTATCCTTCAGATTTTGTAAAACTGACATTGTTTTTTAGGGCACGTACAAATGCGTGTCTTCTATCAGCGCATGTCATTGTTTGCGCGTCGTAAAAGGCCTTTTTTCTAGTAGTGAATCAAATCCGGTTCTATTCCCTTTTTCCCTCTAAATGCCCTAAGCATTTGGAAAATTTTTAGAACGGTCGAATATTACACCATATGCAATCGATCCTATACCTGAAGCGTATGGGATACAATTCATAATGAAAAACATGATACTTTATCAGCTTCTTACTATAATATTGTCATAACGTTCCTATTTGTCGTGTTCTCAAAATTTGAACTATGAAGAGGGATGTCGTAATCCTAATCGAACTCTTAGAATGCAAATAATAAATATAAGCTTGACTAAATTCTATTAAAATTTCTCGATCTAAGCTTTTAGATTGGAAACGAAGTATAACATTCTCTCCCTTAATTATAGCAAAAACAACTTTTCAACCCCTGCAACTTTGCAAAGTGAAACTTTTGTTTTTCTGTAATTAATATTGCCAACTTGCAGTACTTAAATAATATTAATAATGTTCCCACTAACATGATGATTATATCCATTCCAGCATAACATTTACACTCCCACTAGCTTTGACACATATTCAGAAAAAAGTTGGACTTCTAGAAGGCAATACTTATTGACTTCCAAAGTTCATGTTTCCAATACGATGTGCTTCGATAAGCCTTTTATCTAAGCTTCTCAAACTCACACACCTTTCCTTAGACAGCTCATATGTGTGTCTAAAATAATTCAAAACTTATATTACTAAGTCCCAAATGTTCAGACTAATTGCAAAATCTCATAATTCGAACTATGAAGAGGGATGTCGTAATCATAATCGAATTTGTGAATGCAATTTACATAATCGCTATCTCCTTTAAAATCTATCTTACTGAAAGCGTTTCCTCACAACCGTAACATTTTCATTAAGGAGATAAACCTTATGACATTTAGATTTTATAGTGCATGTGTTCCTATCCATGTGGATTTATCATAACCGTAATCATAATATAATGTTTGTGACAAATCCAAACTCTTATGGACATAACTTGTTCATTCTTAATTTCTTGCCATTAAGGGTCCCACCATTGCTTCCAAGTTATTTAGCAGCTCACCTATGCTAGTCAATGTACTTTCATTGAATAAGGTACTTGCCTTATGCAATCTATTGAGAACTTATAGAACTCATATGCATAATGAACTCAAATGGATTGGCACAGTAACAAGAATACGTCGACACGATAGGTTACAATCCTCTAGTCGTGTGCTAGTGTTTAATAGGTTTACTTCTTGATTTCTTGAAACTTTTCAAGATCTTTAGACTCACACTGACCTTTTGACATATTAGATTCTCTTATCAAGAAACATTTCTTGATAAAAATAAATATCCAAGAGTTAGTGAGTGTCTATGTCAAGACAAAACCTTCATTCAATTTGGTACTAGTTGGTCTTTGTCTAATTCTAGACATCACAACTTACCAAAATGTGCAAGTGTAAGAATATTCTTACTTAAGATTATGTCACTCAATTCACAATCTTGGAGTGTTACTCTAAGACTTGACTTTGGAACAAAGTACGATACATCTTATTGACTTAACCATTACAACAATTCTCCATTCCTCTTCTTAGCCAAACTAGTGCACTAAGGTATCCTTAGAGGATGAATTATAATATGGTTCTTAAGATTACCAAGATGATCACAAAACACGATATAAAAGTACTCTCGCTTCTTCTTAGATTGGAGAATCTTTTTATCTTTCTGCCTTCATTGATTCTACTTATTCGTTCTGCCATTCATTGAACCTTTTCAATGATTCAGAATTACACATAATCTTGTAAGTATAACCATATTTACTAGACTTTTAGTTAATCATGACGAATAGTGTTATTGTTATTTATGGTGAACTTGACTAGTGCACAACATTGTGTACTAGTTCCTTTAGTCCTTCACTTGACTCACATACTTATGTGAACAAGGAATTAGTCTTAATTACCTAACTACCAAGATTTCAATACATCACACAATACAAGTTGGGAATTTTTGTAAAACATTTAGTTACTTTAACATTCATTATACTTCTAATGAGGAGAGAGTTTGCCCTATCCTACCTGTTTGGCTAACGACCCTACACCAATCAAGGAAGTGGTGGGTGAGAGTGGACACCCATTAAACATCCATTTTATAGGCCATAACCTTATACCCCCCTTATAGATCGGCTTCCTGAATGAGACCTACTAACGGTAAGACTAGCAGTTTAAGTTATACATATATAATATTAGACTTTTAATGTTATATATAGTATAAGGGTGTATTTTACACTTTTTAAAATACTATGTGGTCTAATTTAACAAATTACACTTTTAATTTAATTAAATGTAAACCATATCATTATGGATTTATTAACTCTCCTTTAATTATACACTTAATTAATTTAATAAAACCATAAGGGTGTAATTTGAACTTTTTCAAAAATTAGGGTTTTAGAATTTAACATTTTAAAATTAAACTTTTAATTAAAATTTAAATTCCAAAACTTGAGGGCAAATTTTGAAACATTTCAAATCATTAGGGTTTAGAATTTAAATATTTCAAAATTAAACTTTTAATCAAAAATTTAAATTCCAAAACTTGAGGGCAAGATTTGAACTTTCCAAAACACAAAGAATCAAATAGCAAATAATTTTAAACTAAACAATTAATTTAATGATTATCTAAATTTGACCTAATCAAGATAATTTACAAGATAATTCACCAAATAAATTAAATAATCAACGATTATCTTATAATTAAATTATTATTCAAATAAATGGTAATTATCTTTTAATTTGGTAAGGATAATCATAACACACACACACACACACACACACATATATATATATATATATATATATATATATAAGATTTTATTATTCAAAAACAATTTTGGTAATTATCCAAACTCAAAATTAGTCAAAAATCCGAGTTTTGAGCCTTCTGATCCACAGACTCGTCGAGTAGCCTACTTCACTCGTTGAGTCTGTCTGACAGACTGGGTTCATGTCGTGAACTCAGTGAGTCATGTTGTGAGCTGGGTATTTTCAGAAAAACGATCTTTCATATCAACCAATTAACGAACATATTAGCATCAAATGTAATTGAAACCAATCAAAGCTCTTATACCACTGATGGGTTTGAGCTAAAAGAACATCTTATGTGCTCATGCAAACCCTAATGCTTGGATCCAGGTTTCACTAATTGTACATGCAATCATCCAAGGCTTACAAATCCTAGATCTAATGAGAAGAATTTGAAATTATAAGAAACAAATCAGATATAGATCATTACCTCTTGTTGCTTGCTTGAATCTTCTTGTCTTTGAAGCTTAGAGTCACAAGTGTCACTCCTCTAATGGCTTACAAAAACCAATAACAAAAGAATGATATTGAAGAGCGTTTGGAGGCTTCTTGAATTCGGCTCTATAGCTCTTAGGAATAGGCTAGTCCGAATTCTGAAACCTTAGGGTCCTATTTATACTGGAGTTGTTAGGGTTTCAGTCAAAAACCCTAATGGACTACTTAGGCCTTAAGCAATTCAAGGAAGCTTCTGGAATAAGGCCTTAGTGCCGAAATTAGGAATGGACACACCCTAATTTCGTCCATGCCTAGTCCATGAGGCTCCTTAGCCCAATACTCAACTATCACACATTTGACAGTTTGTGTCCCTAATATTAAATTAATGTCTTTTAGTCACATAATTAATTTCTTAATCAATTCTTCTCTAATATTAATTTAATTATATGATTTCTCCATTAATGTATTATTCATATAACATATTAATAAGTCATAATAACCTGTTTCTTAATAAATCATCTTATCATGTTACTTTGGTGAAGGCAACCCAAAAAGACCATGCACAACTGGGTCAAGTACTTAGCAAATATAGTTACGAGCTTAGACAGTAATCCAACATACTCTCATCAACAAGTTGATAATTTAAACTAAATTTCCTTAAACATAAAATTGAAATGATATTACTAGTAATAGAATTGTCAAACAAACATTGTCTAACAATAAATAAAGGCCAGATGGTAAACATAATTCAAAATGTCCTCTTGCTTGGAATGTAACTATAGCTCCATTACCGACATACAATTCCATTTTTCCTGCTTTTAGCTCCTTATTCTTTGTGAACTGCTACAACAAATTATATATGTGAGTTCACAATTAGTATTAAATACCCAAGTGTCAGATGAAAAAGTAAATAATCTCATTTCAATCATGAAAATGGATATACTTGATGTGCTTTCCCCGACCTTTTTGGCTTTCAACCATGCAAGATAGGTAGGAAAATTCCTTTTCAAATGCCCAAAAACTCCACACTCGAAGCATGTGTCATACTTAGGTGTTGTTTGTTTTTTCTGAGGCAAAATGTCTGCAGTCTGCGGACCACATTTGTAGACCTCTGCAGTAGAAGAGGTGGACCAAACGTTTGTAGTCCACAAAAAGAAGACTGTTTGTTTTTTTTTTTTAACATCTGCGGACTACTAAAATAAACTTAAATCTAAATAAACTAATTTTTTTAAACTTCAAAGTGATTTTTTAATATTTTTATGAT